ACAAATAGTTGTTCAAGATAAAAAATGAAGCATACAAAAGTGGGGGTTCAAACAGCGAGACTGCAAATGGTTCTGTTCAACTATCCAACAACAACTTAGTAATATGGTTATCAATCCTATACAGTTAAACATACATGCAGTTATCCATATCCTCATTTATGTTGAGATTAAAGAAATCATAGCAGGCTAAAATCATTCTGAATAAAGAATTAAGAGTGTTGCTGGATTTCACATCATGACACTCCAGGATCAGCACTGGGTACTGTAGTGTCTCTTTTTCTTCGAAGTATTTGTTCATTTCATCATGCATTATAAGATCCGTTCTCATAAACTGTTTATAGGTTCTATGCAGGCATGAGTCTTAACATGTATTTCTATCCTTTCTATATTAGAGGGAGAAAACAAAGCAAGACAGAACAAAACATACTCCTATAAACACATGAATCAAAAAGACATATAAACCCACTGTACAAGTTCTACAAAGCTTACTGTGTTTTCTCTTGTTATCTTTAATAGAATTGTCTACATCATCAGACATAGTATAATTGAATATAGCAGTACATAGCAATATCAATAAAAGCAAAACTTTGTAGATAGTGTAAAACTTCAAAAACAGGTACTAATCAAACCAGAATATGTGTCATAGAGTCTTGTCATCTTCAATGTAGTTGCCAATACTCTCAGACTAGATACTACCAATCATAACAGTTTTGAATAAACTCTGTCGATACCAAACAGCAATCAAACAAACCAGATTTAACTAAGATCAGTCATGATAAAACAGTATAAGTTACACAGGGCTCCAGATTAAGTTAATAGGAAATTAAAGATGATTACTGTACTATATCCTGTGATTTTTGGGATAGCTGTCTATGCCCTCAGATCTAGTGCAAGTAGACAAACTGGGACAGAATAGAATCTATCTAAGCAGAGCAGTGTGAGTAATGTAGGTTTTAATTCCAGATACACTATTTTAACAATATCTTTTGCCATCTTTTATAAGACTTTTCCTTCCCTTTCACTCCCCCAGGGTGCACTATGCATTTTTGGGCCTCACCAACACCCTCAGTTTTTAGATTTGGGGGGGCAACCTGCTATTTACCTAAGTGGTTCCAAACCTTCTCCCTCCTGGCTTCATCTCTAGTTGTATTCCTTTACCTATTAAAGCCAGTCTTTCCAACCTATCTGCAGGTACTGGTCAAGTTGCCCCTATTATTCTTTGGTTCCTTGTCACATAGAGCATTGTTTTCTCATATTTGATTTTCAGGCAAAAAACCCTTTTCAGGTTAATTATATTTCCTATAAAGAGTACCTCAGTGAATCCTACCTCCTGATCTACTCTGCCTGTTTTTCTCTTTTTTGTGTTTTTGGGTTTTTTGCTCCTGATTTATACACAGGGGCCCCAATAGCAGTTGAGAGCCAGACCTGGTAATCTTTACTAGCCCAGTAGAGAGAAGATACCATCGTTGAAAACTAAGGAAAATGACAAGCTACAATATTTATGAGGCTCAGAATTTTTCTTCTTAGGCACATTCAGAGCATGATCTATTTTGTTTGTTCAATGATTTCAGTTCTTTATTTTTAATTTTAGTTGTGCCAACATTGTTTCTAAGAAAGTGCACAACCAAGCCAGACCCATGGCTGCTACCAGCAGGGTGCGTTCCTCCTGTGGGAAGACAGCACAGGTAAGGAGAAACAGCCCCACCAGCTCCTGTGTGCCTGCCGCAATCAGGGTGTTTGCTTCCCTCACATAAAAAGCAGAGGCAGGAAAAAACATCCATGTACACCCAGTACACCCACAGGATGCCATGGTAGACGCTTATTTCCTATGTGCACCTCGCATGGGCTAGGAGAATCACACAAACATGCCCATATGCCTGCTGCCATTGTGGGAGTCTGAGAGTATCCACACAGGTCAATCAAAAAGCAGCCCCAGCAACATGCACGCATGGCCACTGGGGAAGCCTTGGTGTAGTTGCACAGATCTGAAGAAGCCAAACACATGATCTACTGCCTTGCCAGAACCTGTCTTCAAAGAAACCCAACTGTTGGCCCATTAGCCTACTCTACCAAGGGGCAACCAATGTGGGCAGCGTCTGGGATCCCTAAACTGGCTTGTCAACAGGAACTCAGGAAAATGTCAAGATGAAGGAGTGGGGTGCTGGGGATTTAGCTCAGCGGCATAAGCACCTGCCTTGCAAGCAGGCAGTCGTGAGTTCGATCCCCAGTCTACCGGAAAAAAAAAAAAAGATGAAGGAGCAAAAGATAATCTCAGCCCATCAACCCACACAGAGCCTGGGAGATACAGACATGGAAGAAAATCAAAGTTACACACCTGAAATCTCTGAAAGGATAGCAATAAAGTAAACAAACAACTTCATGAGGCTGTAAAAGTAATCAGATCAGAAATAATATCTCAAGTAAAAGAAGAAATCACAAACATGATGAAAGAACTGCTGAGCATATCGAAAGGAGACATAGATAAAAAATGAGGAGCATAGAAAATTGATGGAAACCTTATTGAACAATATAGGAAGGAATTACAAGGCATGCAGCAGATACAAAGAGATATCCAGGAAATTAAAAACTCCATTGAAAGCAGGCAAGACCACTTTAGAGAAAATGAAGAGAGACTTTCAGACCTTCAAGACAGGATTGCAGCTAGTGATCATCAAAGAACAAATCTCTTGAAATAACAAAGAACCAGAAAATAAAAGTTTAATGGCTGCCAGGCAATGCAAAGAAAAATGAATTAAGAGTCATAGGTGTCAACAAAAAGGCAGGAGTCAACAGTAATGACACAAATAGACTATTTACAGAAGTAAGAGCAGAAAATGTCCAAAACATGGGGAAAGGATCTGGTACAGTTAAGCAAGGCATATAGAATTCCAGCTAATCATGACCATAGTAAATCTACACAGAGACATATAATGATCAAGATCCCAGAAATTTAGCACAAGAGCAGAATACTAAAGTCTGTTAGAGAAAAGAAACAGATTACCTATCAGGGAAACTCATCAGAATCATGCAAGACTTCTCAACACAACCCGTCAAGCTAAAAAGAGCTCAAAAGATCTCAAACCAGATTGATGTACTCTATAAAACTATCTTTCATAATTGATTGAAAAAACAAGACAATTCCATGATAAAGAACAAATGAAGGAATTCATGACCACGAAACTAACCCTAGAGAGACATACAGATGACCACAGTTCCAAGAACAGTAGCAGAGAGGGATCACCAAATAGGGCAAGGAACTGAGTGGAGAGAAAAAGAAGAAGGCTCACTGAAGAGGACAGCATGGCAGAGGTGAGCCAGTGCAGGCCAGTTGTAACCATCAATGTAGATGGCCTCAATTCAGCAATAAAGTGGAACATACAGAGAGTAGATCAAGAAACAAGATATAGCAATGTGCCATATAAAAGAAACACATTAACTGGAAATAAATTCACAGACTGAACATCAAAGGAGAGAAACCACAAAAGAGCAAGGGTAGTTTGCCCATCAATTACTGAATGGATAAGAAAAATATGGCATTTTGTACACCATGGAAAGCTACTGAGCTATGAAACAGAATAACCTCAGGCTCTTCTAGGTAAATGAATGCAACCTGAGATCATGCTCATGGGTGAAGCTGTACAGAGTCACATGGATGAAAATCATTTTGTCTCTTAGTATAAAAAACTCAAGGAGTTAGTGAGATTGAAAATGGACAACACATACTGAGAAAGTTATAGGGGAGGAAATATATAAAAAGTGAAAGTAGCAGCCATTATTAACTTCCTGTTATCTTGTTTTTGAGTTCTTGGCATCCTTTTAATTATTTTGTTAGATTTAGTTTTATTCTGTCTTGTTTTGCTTGATTTTATTATGTCTGAGCTATTTTGAAGATAAAAGATGTATTATAGTAACCATTGTTGATTTCCTATTATATTGTTTCGAAGCCCTGTATTGCTTTCATTGTTTTGTTTTGATTGATTTTATTCTGTTTTGTTTAGTTTGTTTTTATTATATCCAATGGCATACATAGCTATTTTGAGGAAAACAAAACATATTATGGTAGACATTGTTATTTTCCTATTATCTTGATTGGAAGTCCTCTATCACTTTCATTGTTCTGCTTTGATAGGCCTTATTATGTTTTGCTTGACTTTATTCTCCTTAAAACAAAAAATACAGGGCTGGGGATTTAGCTTAGTGGCATGAATGTCAGATTGGCAAGCACAAGGTCATGAGTTTATCCTCAGTACCAAAATAAATTTAAAAATGAATAAATACATTAAAAAGTGCACAACCTTCTGAGATGATTATTTTTAAGCTATTAGTTGGCTATATGGATAGATTAATTTCTAAAGTCTTACTGCTTTATAATGGCATTTTATTCTCTAAACATGCAAATAGGGGCAAAGAATGGCAGAAAAGGTGATAATAAAACAGTTTACATGGGCCTTATTTCTTGTAGTAAACACTGATTTATACAACTAAACAACTTACACTGCTGACAAAAAGTCCAGAGTAGGAAACTGGATGAGAAAGATGGTGTCATGCTGAATGCCCTTTAAAATAACAGGCACACACATTGTGTCCACTTGGTGGAAAAGAGTAAGAACAATTTCAAGTGAAGAAGATCAATAAGTAATAGTGAATATATACAAAACATTTTAATGAAAAATCAATGTTTGTCATAAGTTATAGCTGATTTAAAACTATACAAAAGGATTATACTTTTTCTCCACACTTAATTTCATAATAAACTAAAAAATTTCCTGTTATATTAACCGTGTTACTTTCCAATTCATTGTGAACCACTCTTCAAAGACTACCCATAGTTTACCGTAGATAAACTCAGAACCACAAAGTATCTCTTTTCAAGTGTTAAAAAAATTTCTTTTGAAGTTGATGGACCAATTGGTACTTTGTTTTGCCCAAAGGTCAAAAGGCAAGCCTACCAAAGAAGGAAGAAGGAAGTCCAAGGACTTATCAGTTAAATATCAGTACGGACTGAGCGTAGGAGCCCAGTGACCTGGCTTCCCAGTCAACATGAAGGCTCTCCTCCTTCTGGGGCTTCTCGTCCTTTCTGTGACTGTCCAGGGCAAGGTCTATAAGAGGTGTGAGTTGGCCAGAACTTTAAAGCGTCTTGGAATGGACGGCTACCGTGGGGTCAGCCTGGCAAACTGTAAGTCTGCTCTCCCAATCATTAGCCACATATGGAAGACACACTGACAATGGTCACAGGGCATTTTTGTGACTGGACACTTTTATTTCTTTGTGGGTTCGAATATCCACAATGGTTAAAAAGTGAATTCAGTCCTTTAATGTCAGAAATGCTGGGATGAAGATATAGCTCACCAGCACAATATCTGCCTAGCAAGAGTAGGGCAGATACTGAGTTTGATTCCTAGTACAAAGCAAAATCAGATATTGGATGAAGGAGTAAGTGGGGGAATGGAAAGCATTCCACACTTTCTGCCTCTGCTACAACTGGCTATCTTCTCCCAGCTCCTCTGCACTGGCCTATTAAATAGTCTCAGATTCAAAGGCCAGAGTAGGGGCTGGGGATTTAACTCAGCAGCATAAGCAACTGCTTGCAAGAAACTACCTTGCAAGCAACAGGTCCAGAGTTCAATCCCTGAAACTGATTTAAAAAAATACAAAGGCCAAAATAGGCTGGGGAAAAGAAATTGAGGGCCCATTTAGAGTTTAGACTCCAGAGTACTATAGTGGCACAGTGTTTTTATTTTTATAAATTTCCCTGCCATGACATGGAGCTTTCTAGAGAAAACAATGTTAAAACTCATACTGAACTCAGAAATGGAGAGCAGGAGCTTTTCTCTTCTTCAGTCCCTGGTAAAAGGTTTTCTGAAATTCACCAAAAAATTATACTCTTCTTATTTTGTCTCTATGTTGACTCTTTTTCATCTTCTTCTATGCAATTCATGAGTGTCCAGGGAAGTTTAACTTTACACCTTACTTCATATTTGTCAGTATGAGCGCTGTTCTTTCTGATTGAATTCAAGCGTTTCCTCCTCACTAACTATTTTGGAAAAGTTAGTGAGTAGATGCAGAGACGGATGAATACAATGACAGAATAGCCTTTCCAATTCTTTAGTTCTTGTTGTCAACATTCTAATTTGACAAGTAAATTCACCTTGTATTATAGGAAAATTTGTCCCACTCCAAGAAATCCTTAATTTTCCAAATAAAAGCATTTTTCAGCCTGACTCAGTTACACGAGCCTGTAACCTCATCTACTACCGAAACTGAGGAAGAGGGCTGGAAGTTCAAGGTCAGTCAGGCTACATAGCAAAACACTTGAAAATAAAATTACAAGGGATAGGAGTATAGCTTAGTTCTAGAAAATTCACCTGCCACACATGAGGCCCTGGTTCAGTCCCCAGCCTGCACACACACACACACACACACACACACACACACACACACACACATACACACATACACTCACACACCCCAACTCAGGCATTTTTGCAGCAGCATATGTACCCACTGTAAACTTACTAAATTGATTCAACAACTCTACTGACCCATCTGTTCTAAGCTGAATGTTCGCCAAGGGATGAGATTAGAAGGAAAGTAAAAGTGATGGGAGAAACAACCATTTTAAATTTTTTAAAAAGTATTTTTCATTGCTTTATCAGTATCACAAATTGCTTTGCACTAAGATTCTCTTAGGGTCCTTAGAACTATGGTATTGATAGTCATGTTTGGTGGTGCACATGCCTGTAATCCCAGAACTTGAGAGACTGGGGAGTAATCTTAGCCTAGGAGACCACCCTTGGAAATATACCAAAATCCTGTCTCAAAACAGCAACAAGAAAAGTAATGTGTTGAAATATTTTATAAATTGAGTACATCTTCATAAATTAGAGTTAGCTGAATAGCATTGCTATGGGTTATTGTATAAATCACTTAATGTTGCTCTTTATGAAAAAAAAACAATCTCTTTTCAGGGATGTGTTTGATCAAATGGGAGAGTAATTACAATACAAGAGTTAAAAACTACAATCCTGAAAGCAAAAGCACTGATTATGGGATATTCCAGATCAATAGTCGATACTGGTGTAACGATGGAAAAACCCCAGGAGCAGTGAATGGCTGTGGCATATCCTGCAACGGTAAGACAAGGGACGACAGACGTGATGGCCAGGACCTATCTGCCTACACAGAACACAGTCAGTGGCAGTAACATATGCGTTACCTTAGAGAAACTGCATGCCAACTACAAGACAGTGGCTTCTTCCCCTTCAAAAGCTCATCAGTGAGAAATTCGCTCTGGAACATAACAGAGTAGAGTTCCGCGTAACATGAACACGGGTCCCAGGGCTCCATCCTCACCATGACAAAATGAAAAATAAAAAATAAAATAAAGAGGCAATATCATAAATGTTAGTGTTTTAAAGCATTCAAACATTTCTGCAATTCTTTATGATTTTCTTGTAAAAAGTCTTACAGAAGCTTTGTCCAGAGCAGTGTCATACTTCCTATTTACAGAGACAGTTCAAGGAAAGTTTGGTCGTATGGTCTTTTTGTGATGATCTTATCTTCTGTTATGAAATGCTATCAATTAAAAATAAGACATTAGTGGATACCTATAAAACTTTAGTAGTGACTATAGGTAACATTTTGAAGTGTATATAACTTTTGCTTGAGTGTGCAGCAGTATCTCTTTTTGATATTTTATTTGTAAATTTACATTTGTTTATATTCCTAAAAAGTTAGTTTCCAGGTAATCACTCTCACACTTGAAAATTAACTTCTGTATTTATTCATTTTGGTTTTTGTTTTGTTTTCTTTTTCCAGTATTTCTTTTTTTTTTTTCTTTTTTGTTTGTTTGCTTGTTTTTGTATCAGGAATCAAACTCAAGATCTTGTGCTTGACAGGCAGGTGCTTGTGCCATTGAGCTATATCACTAGTTTGCATTTATTCATTTGTGATGAAAGTCATTTTATTCTACAACAAAAAAACATGCAAAATTTATCACATGCCAAAGACATGATTATTACAATAGAAACTACATCTGGAATCTTTACATAAAAGCTTGTCAATATCGCAAATTTGATATTGTTAATTATTTAAATATTAGAATATCCAAGGACCAGGACAATTTAGAATATTTTAGTCTAGTTGATTTAGTTTTAGAATTTTTCCTGTTATATTACATATATCATTTTATATATTATATATCATTGAATACAAATTAGAAAATGCAAGCAAGAAAAACCAACATCCAAAAGCATACTATGCAGAGATTTATATCTAATGGTAAATTTTGGTATATATTCTGACAGAATACATATCAACCATGTTTGTATAAGTAAAATTATATCATGCCCACATGGACCCACATACAAATGGGGAAGCAATGTGCATTTATACAGAAATCAAAATTTTGTTATGTACATTACTTTGCAGTTCACTTATCACAGAACATTGTTTCCATAATAACAAGTACTAATCTGTATTATCAATAAATTGGGAAAATAGAATTGTACTATATAATTTTTGATCCAGCAATTAGTTTATTTCCATTTTCCCCTTTTTCACATTGCTAAAAACAACCTTGAGAATTTCTTATTATTACTTAGGACAAATTCTCACTAGCAGAATCTCTGAGGACAATTTTATTAGGCACTTTTATTACAGAATGGTATAAAAGAGCACTTTTAATTACATTAAAAATTCTCTATCAATCAAGTACATAGAAATAAGATTATATCATGCTCGTATGGGCCTATGTACAAACACATAAGCAATGTGTGTTTTTACAAAAATTAAGTTTTACCATATATAGTTCTTTACTATTCTCCTTTCACACAAAATTATTTCATATCACCAAATACAAACCTGTCATAGCTTTTAAAGAAGTTGAATATGGGCAGGGGATATAGCTCAGGGGCACATGGCAAGTGCCTGCATGGCAAGTACAAGGTCATGAATTTGATTCCTAGTACCTAAAAATAAAGAAAACAAAGATGTGGAATAGATTTAATATGTGAATACCATAATTTATTGATCCAACTCTTAGCTATTAAACACTTATCTACAGTTTTCCTTTTATAAATTGCTATGGACACCATTGTGCATAGGTACATATGCATTTCTTATTGTTTATTTAGGATGAATTATCACTAGAACTGGACAAAACAAAAGTAGGCAATTTGTTTTTTACAGTGTGAAGAACAAAAAGGGCATTCACTTATATTAGTAACTCCACGGCTTTATACGATATTAGCTCATGAGAAGCAGAATGCTTTATTTCATGCCAAATGTGATAAATGAAGGCTTTTTTACTCATTTGGATTAATCTAACTTAAAGTGAAACTCCATGCCAGTCCTTATTCCTCATCTCTCTTTCAGTTTTGCTACAAAATGACATCACTAAAGCGGTGGCTTGTGCAAAGAGGGTGGTCAGGGATCCACAAGGCATCAGAGCATGGTATGTATTAAGAAATAACTGATGAAACTTTTATCTCCTGATGATATGTGCAACTAGAGGAGTTTATAAACACAAAATGCATTATGCTGGGAGCCAAAACTTATACACTGGACTTATGTGAAACAATTTTTTTCTTCCATCCCTCAAGAAACAAAGTACTTTAACTAACTCAGAATCTTCCTCTTCAAATCTGCCATTTGTTTTAGGGGATTTCTAATATTTTTAAGGTTCTACACACTATAGTATCTCCTTGTGATATCTTGAAATTATCTGTAGGATAAGTAAATGTGCAATAAATATAATGCAATATTATTTTTCAGCATTCTGTGCACTGCTAAGGACTTGGGGAGGAATGAAGTGCATTTATATATCTCTAGTCAATAGATAGCAATAATAAGGTCTAGCTATAGCCTATATTACTTTACTGACAAAATATGTTGTTGTCCTCAAGTATTTTTAAATATGGTTATTACAGAGGAGACATGTTGTAATTCTTTGTCTATGTGTTTTTCACTTTTCTTTACAGGGTGGCATGGAGAAACCGTTGTCAAAATCAAGATGTTTCTCTGTATGTTAGGGGCTGTAGAGTATAACAGCAGAATATTCATTTTGCAGCTCATTTTGCTTCTTTTACAAATGAAGGGAGAAGTAGCTAAGGGAAAGATCCCACTCACCTTGTTTCACCTACAAATACCAATCACAGAAGTTGAGCAAATTACTTTTTTCTTGAAAGCTTTAAGTTCACTGATGTGTTCATTAGTTGTTATTAACTTTACATTTTTCAGTAGAAGATGGAACTAATGCTAGTGAACTCAACCAAAATTCTTGATTCTCAAAGACATCTCCAGTACATTCAGCTCTTTAGCAATAAAGAATTAATCTAGAATGGTACCATTTTTCTAAAACAGTTTAACAACTCTTCACTGAAAAGTATAAAACATTTTAAGGAGCAGAATGCCAAAGTGCTAGAACTAGAAACTGTCTGAATTAAGAATTTGGTGTCCATAATTGCTGTGACCTTTGGTTCAAGTATTTTCGGGAAAATGCTACATTCATACAGCTATAAAAATACACTCACACTTCATACATCAATATGCTTTACCTTGAAAGAACATTTAGATGGTCCTTGCATGGTGAAGGCCTTAAAGACAGAGTAAATGAACTATTATTCTTCCCTAATTTAGAAGCACACATTTCAACTAAATCTAAAATTCATGAGCTTGCAATACTATTAACCACAGGATTACGTATATTGTAAAAAATAAAGATAACATTATCAATAAAAAATGCAATACAAGTCTTGTCTGTCTTTTTCTAGACCTAGCTGATATCACAAATGAACAAAATACACATAGAATATGTAAGGAAAAAAAAAAACCAGGAGTTCTACATCTTCATTTGCAAAATAACACTAGGATATTACTGAAAAAAAGCAAGATGAACATGAACTAGAACAAACTATAGTCAACCAATAAATTATGGGCAGAATTGCTTAGGTTATTTGTCTTCAATGAGGTTCAAATGGGGAAGCAAGTCTTATATGGCAAGGAGGCATGAAACATAACAGGGGCTTTTCATGGAGGGGTTGGGTTGAGAGGCTGTTTTTCCTGAGGTAATGCATATGGATTTAGAATATCAGTCACTGTTGTTTATCCTTAGAGGAAGTATGTGGGCACATTCCTTTCATCTTTGTCCTGAGGTCTGGCCCTAGCAGATGTGTCTGCCTTTCCCACAGTTGCAGTGCATGCAGTCTTGTGCACTGACTCCTTCCAGGGCCAGCCTTCATCCTGCTCCCTGAGCCTCAATGACAGAGGAAGTGGGATTCTCAGATTCCAAAACTGGCCCACAATGCAGGACAAGGAAGGCCTCAGATAGATACTATGTCAATCTAGAGTCATACTTTATATTTCAAAGTACCTGATATTCAGAAAGGGTCATATTAATTAGAATTAAGAACTAATGCTCCTACTTCAAGACTGGTACAGTTGACCTTCTGAGTATTTAACAACCGGGGCTTAGAGATTGAAGCTTACAAATATAAAATAAAATGTTTAGAGGACAACTAATGTTTTGGATTTTTCCTTTCAAGGTCAACCAGCCTCTGCCCTGTGAAGGGACTCCTCTAAAATTTCGTTACAAATTCAGTGATTCACCCAAACACCTGAGAAGGAGAATTATTGCACCTGAGGGGTCAGGAGTTAACCAAGGACATTTTTCACAAAGGAGCCTCACTAAAGAGTGGAAAGTCCCTGTGATTTCAAGGAAACCCATATAGTAGAGCAAAGATCATGATCCATTCTAGCAATAACATGAATAGTATACTTTAAAACTCTAGAGGAGCTACCAGTCTTTTCCAATAGTCCCAACAGTAACTTACCTCGGGGGAAATTTAACTGACCTTGGCAAATATATGGGTAGATTAATTTGAATTGACACAATTCTTATGTTCACTTGGTTTGAAACACTCACCATATTAGCAAGATGGAATAAATAGTAATATTGTAAAAAAACAAAACAACAAAAGCTAAGCTAGATATAAAAGAGACTCCCAACCAGTCCATAATGGAAGTCTTCAGCCATACCTGCAATATTTCAGCCCACAGCCATGAGAGGTCATGATTCCCAGTCCCACCAACTCTTCTAAAATTGTGTCCTTCAGCCTACGTTAGTATGTTAGCAATGTTCTATTTAGTGAACTTTCAAGTACCCTTTAGGTACTTTGGCTTCTTCCATAGATGTACCTATAAGATAAAACTGCCAATATTAATATTCTAGCTACTAAACTTTGTTAACTTTGTGGTATAGATTAATTTCCTGTTATCTACTTCAAAGTTTATGTTTCTTTTTTGAAACCATCACTACCAAAGGTCTTGAATTCTGCAAAACAGAGGACAGAGCCAGGCATGGTGGCATATGCCTGTATTCTAGCACTTGACAGACTCAGTCAGGAGGATCATTGCAGGTTCAAGCCCAGTCTGGGCTGCACAGCAAGACCCTGCCTCTAACACACATAGATATATCTACACACATGCCCCTCCCAAAAAAAAAACAGAAGCCAGAACCCAGATTTGGACCCTGTAGTAAGAATCTTATTGGCCCAATAATCACAAAATAATAGGTGTCTTTTTTAATGTATTCATTGTTATAATTAAAATAAAAATATTTGATTTCTTATTGACAAAACAGAGAGGAGTCCATGTGCTCTTAGCTATGCTTGGGTAAACACTACAAAACAAAACAATGATTAATGTTAAAAATGAGAGGTTTATGCCAAATGCTTCCTAAGTCTGTTGACTTCCATGTTTTGGAGTCACTATACACAAACATTCTACTTAATATGGGGCCCTCCCTTGTTTGTATTGTTATGAAATGGAGATTGGTACAGGAACTTAGATTGGCAAAAGAGACAATGGTGCCAATTTACAGTGATACCTAGCCAGTACATCCTCCTTTTCACATCCTTAAGGTGCCAGTTAGTTTTCCATGTAGATGTAAAAGATGCCTCTTCTTGTATTCTTTTACATACAGATACCCAGTTTCTGTTTCCCTCAAAAAAGCCTCATGACCAGGTCTCTCCAATGACTTAGACAATGCTCCCTCAAGGCTTCATCAGCTGTGTAGTCCTCATCTCTTGGGACAAGTGCTTCTGTGAGGCTTGAAGTGTTTTAAGGTTTTCAAAATCACAGTCTTACAATATAGAGGTGATGTACCACTGTGTGACTCTGAGAAAAGTGTCTAGCCAAGGTACCCATGCTCTGCGAAATCTTCTAGCAGATAGAGGTTATGATACTGTGGAAAAGCCACTGTCACCCTTAATGGAAGACTCTTTGCAACAAGGAATCTAGAAGGCAACTTTATTGACCTTACAGAAGTAGGCTGGGAAAGGACAACAGAATCCAAAACACCAGTCGTGAGTCAGCTTAGTGTTCAGTTTAAATACAGTTTGCAAGCATGGATTACAAACCTGATGGCAGGCTATTACATGATTGGTTATATGAATTAACTCAGATATTGTCAAGCAAGCTAGTTCTGAATAGATAAAAGGAATTGTTTACCATACTGTAGAACATCCTGGGGATCAGGGGTGAGGTTTCAAGTAGAACAAACAAATTTAAGAGTGTCCTTGACTGAGCCGCTTTGTTCCTCAGAAAAAGCTTGAAGCATACTGGAAACAATATATACTGTTTAATTAAGGAAAACACAAGTTGGACATAGTCAAATTGACCCAGCACCTTATCAGAAGAAACGCAGGTGGATTCAGACAGGCAAGATGCTTACTTGACAAGAAGCAGGAGTGTGCACACAGGCCAATACTTTTTACCATCCTATAAAATGTCTAGAAGTTTGCTGTTCTATATCTGTGCCTTTACTATTTTTATAACGTTAAAGTCTCTAGTCCCAACAAACAACTTTAATACCTTCAGATAAAATGCTTGGTCCTTATCTCATCTCAGGGAACTTGAGGGCAAGAGAAAAAAACAAAAACATTTTCTATAGCCCAGGACCCTAAAACAGCTGAGGGGATTCCTAGGAATTACAGGATCATATTGACTTTATTATTATTATTATTACTACTACTACTATTATTACTATTGTTGTTATATTAGCATGTAGTAAGTTTGTCAAAGGAAACATATTAGCAACAGCATTGGGCAGAAGGGTGAAGCACAGGGGAAAAAAGGGTACTCAGTACTTTGTCACTTTTAGATGGCAAAATATGGTGAGACTATATAACTCCTATATCAGCTTATAAAAGAAGCTCAAAAGAAATACCCACACTTTATTCTGGGAACTTATATTTCCTACCCGCATTTCAGAAGCTTAAATAAGTCTTCTAAATGTCCCAGAATTGAACCTACCAACAACATAGCATTTCACTCAGCACATTGAAGAGAGGTGGGATGTGGCATTGGAGGTGCTTCCACAGGATTGGGGATGTGCTCTACAGCCTACAGGGTATCTAAGTCATGAATTAGATATTGTAGCAAAAGGATGTCTTTCATGCCTCAGAGCTCTGGCTGATGTAGCTCGCATAGTACCTGAGACCTCAAAGCCAACTTTAGCTAAAGCTCTAATTGTATTCATAGCTCACCATGTGCCAAGGATTCTTTCTTCAATGACAGCCTATACTTATCAGACAAACAACTTCTTAAATAACAGGTTCTATTTCTAAGAGGACCCATCAGTCATTCAAATAAGGACATGTTCCTCCTTAAGCTCTGCCACCTTAGAAAAAAAAGAGAAGAAAATTGAGGCTAAATTTAAGAGAAAACTGACAGCAAACAGGTGGTTATTCATACATACACAGACTTCTTAGACACACCCCTTACTAACCATAATTTGATGCTGTTCTATGATGACAGTTCCACCACAAAAAATAAGGCAAAAAAGCAGGATACACAGTACTAACACTGCATCAAACACTTAATGGCTCTTCACTTACCCCTGAGACTACTGGCCAAGTAACTGACCTCACAGCTCTGACAAGGGCTTTACAACTCAATAAAGGACAAAAGGTCAATATTTATATTGACTCAAAATATGCTTTCCTAACCTCACATGCTCATGCAGCCATATAAAATTTATCTAACAGTCAATAGATCTCCTGTAAAGTATCATAAATAGATAGATAAATTCTTATCATTTGCTGTCTGTATGCCCTCCAAAGTGGCAGTTGTTCACTATAGAAGGCACCACAAAGAGCTAGAGATAATCAACTGGCTGGCACAGCTAGAAAAGAAACTGCTTGAGGGCTCCTCCATTCAGATTCCTCTAATTTGGGAAGGGTCCCTTAATCATACTTGGCCCAAATATTCTCAGTCAAAAATCAATTGGACGCTGTCTCTCATTTTCTTTTGTGAGTGTTAGTTCTTTCCATCAAGATGGTTACAACAAAATGATGGTAAATTATTCCTTCTTGGTGCGAGTCAATAAAAAGTAAGTATTTACATCAAGCCTTTCACTTGGAGAGAAACGAGACCAACCAGATGGCCTCAAAGTTCTTCAGAGGAAAGAGACTCTCATACAACACAACAGAGAGTTAAGATGTGTGAGCACTGTCCAAAGAACACTCCTCAGCCACACGATAGCACCTCTAGGTATATAGTGGCATAGTAAATATCCTGGATTAGCAACTTGATTTTACTCATATGTCAAGTAATAAGGAGCTCCAATAATTATTGGTCTAGATAAATACTTTCATACACTGGGTTGAGACTTTTCCTTATAAAACAAAAACAGTTCAAGAAGTGATAAGGTTTTTGTTCTCAAAATTCATCCCCAAATTTAGATTTCCTA